CCTGCTGCCCTGGGACTCTGCTGCAGCCCTGTCAGCTTCCAGGTGGAACAATTCCCAGCCTGAGGGAATGATGAGAATGCATTAGGAATTTCTGAAAGCTGGGAGATGCCCTTAGGAATAGACAGCCTTTTATTGTGCCTAACTTAGGGGTTATATGGAAAGATAAACAAGGCCCCAGGAACAAAAAAAAAAAAAATTCACATAGAGAGAGGGAGGAGGAAGGGGCTGGTGTCAATCCTGTTCACCCGTGTGCAAGGTGAGGGACAGTTGTGCTTGGGTATGTACCCACCTTGTTTCAGAGCAGCCAGGGCCTGTGACCTGCTCTGGGCTGACAAGAAGAGCCTCACCTGGGCTGTCACCCAGGGCCCTAGAGCATTGGCCACAGTCACCAGAGCACTGTCCTGATCGGCCTTCTTACAGTGCAGAGAGGGTGACAGCAAGCGAATCAGCTGGAAAGAGCTTTTCAGTGACCAGTGCAAACACTGATCTGAAATGAAATGCCCTATTCCCATCATATCCCCTTGGGGCTGGTTTTAAAACATGTGAGTAAACCGTTGTGACCTGACACCTTCCCAGGTATGGATTTCTAGGTTTATTAATTATCTGTATTAATGTATGCAGCATGTCGAGGGCACAGAGCAGATCCTGCCTGTCAAAAGCAAAGTGACTCTGGTGCACAGTAGTGCAGAGGCAGGGCTCTACATCCCCCACAGCACCTGCCGCAGGGAAGAGAGAACTGGCTCCTGCCCTTGCTGGGACTGGGGACAAACAGGCTGAAAGAGAAGCGCAGTTAAACCCGGCTCCTGTGGGTCAGATGGACAGAGAAGGCAGGATGAAGGCAAACACAAAAGGAGAAACAGAATGAGAGCTTTCTAGTTTCACTGTGTTGTATGTAACATTCTTTGTAGTTATTTTTAGCATGAGGAAGCAACTGGTCTCTAAATCCCCTAGTGGGCAATTGCAACAGCAACACTTTATTCTGAACCCAATGAATCATGCACAGTCTATGTGAGCCCCACACCATGCACCTCTGCTGCGGGGACATGCCTGCAGCAGGCACTTCTCATGCTGCTGTCCCAAAACATGACCCCAAACATCTCTGTACTGTCCTCAGAGGTGAAGCTAACCCCGGCTGGCACCAGGCTTATGTCCAGACCCTCACCATTTACATTTGAAGATGGTATTTATGGAAGAAAAAAGTGTAATTCCAGACTAGTTATGTTCTGTTGAGGCCATAACACAACATGTGGGACAGCATGGAGGGAGAGAGGAGCTACCAAGAGTGAAGTGTCCAAGGAAAAAAATGCAAACAAAGTCTTCGTCCTTTAATGGGTTGCTACTGCTGTTTTGTAGCCAACCAGATACCCTAGGTAATTAAAATCCAACAAATAGATGCTTTTTTAAAATAACAGCTTTAAAAAAAAAAAAAAGTCAGTAGGTTTATTGTAGGTCTGAAGAGGGGCACAGTATGAGTAAGTGGAATGCCTACATGTTGTCTATACAGAATAACCCATCACTTGAATTAAAAAGCAGCAGCTAAGCAGCTGGATTTCATTCATCATGTCGTCTTCTTCTGTTTTTTCTTTTCATTTTCTTCCTTTTCTTTTTCAATTTCAGCAACATACTTCTCAATTTCTTCAGGGTTGAGGATCTAAAACAGAAACACAGGTGACCCTCAAGATACAAGTTAGAGGCTTTCATTTAAGCAATTCCAGTTCTGACACAGAAAGTTAGCTGCTTTGTGCAGACACAACAACATTCCTTGGCCACTAATGATAAACAGGAGTATTTGCCAGGGCAAAATGTGAGATTAAGGGCTGGAAGTTGATGCACATCAACAATACCACTATCAGAGAAACCGGCTGCAAAGGGAGAAAAGCAAAACAAAGACCTTACCTTCAGTGGCTGTTCCCGCCTCATAACCGCCAGCTCAATGTTCTTCCCACCAGACTGCACAACCTTAGGGAGAGTTAGATGGAGGCACTGGAATTAGTTAATGGCCTCACTCCTAACAAACCCCTTTCCGACCAACTGAGAAGGTGAACAGAGATGGGTGGGGAGCATTTCACTCATTAGCTCTAAGCTCTCAACACCAGTAACAGTGTAACCCTCAAAAAATACAAGTCTGCATTCTGGCATCAATGCAGTCAGTGGCTGGTGAAGAACACCTCACTTCCACTGTCGGACTTTTGATATTTTCTGTATCTTAAACTTCAACACAAAATAAAATATTCTGTATATGGTTTAGCACATCTTTGGTGCATTTGTTTTAACACTCAGAACTGAAGTTTGTTCTCCTCCCCAGAGAACTGCTAGTAAGTTGGTTTTTTTTGTGTAAACTATGGAAATTGCTACCTGAAATATTCTGAACCTTGAATTTACTCCCACACCCGTGGCCTACAATGAAGAGCTTTCACAGATCCTTTTATAGTACTTTCCTGTGACAGGCACAAAGACTTTCATGTATTCACATTTAAGAAGTTAATCCAGATACACAGTGAAAAGTCACACAAGGAATCTGAAACGGACTCACCTCAAGAAGAGCCTTGATGACAAGTTTAATGGTTAGGTCATCTGTTTCAATGGCTTCATCAGTATAGTTTTTCTCCAGGAATTCACGCACAGATTTGGCTCCTCTGCCAATGGCATTAGCCTGGAAACATTGAGGGAAAAGCAGCTAATGAATGCAAGTTCAGAAGAGAATGAATGCACGGAATAAGCAAGTTGTGCAACTACATGATCTGAAACCATTTTGTGACCACCATGTATTTTTCACGAGATTGAGCATGCTACTTCCCACATGTCACACAAAGAGACAGCTGTCAGGCACAGGTGGGTTGGTTTTTTTTTTTTTTTTAAACAGGACAAGATTTCCCCAACAAAGCTGAAGTGCAGACTGCCATGTTCAGTCCATTTGATCATTAAGGATTTTTGCAGCTGTGAGCCAACACCATCTGGCCAGTGAGATCTCCTTTCTACACAAGTGCCTCTTTAAATGAGTCATTAACTCACAAATATTTAATTACATCTCCACAAGAGAGAGCATCAACTCACCTTCCAAGCATGGTATGTACCAGAGGGATCGGTCTGGTATAGCCGGGGAGTTCCATCAAAGTCAAATCCCACAATCAGAGCAGAGATACCGAAAGGTCTGCGACCGTTGCTCTGTGTGTACCTCTGATCAGAGAGAAGAGATGCTTATTTCAGAAGCAGTTCTACAAACAGTTTTAGAGTGGAAAGCGCTGCAAAAGCTACAGCCAGAAGAAGCACCAGAAATATTTTTAGCAGGCTCTCTTACCAATCTACCTGTATTCTGTGTCTTAAAGAAGACCACAAGCAAGGCAAGCAACAGGCGGTTATTGTTCAGCCCCTGTTCCTAACACCGGCTGAAGTTTGCTGTGTGATTGCAGCTATCAGGTAGAATCTCCTTCAGCTGCTGGGCAGTGCTGAGGCAGAGGCTCAGCCTGCAAGCCCAGGTGTTAACACTCTGCTTTGACAAGCACCCTTAGGACGCCAAGAGGATGATGACACGTGAACACAAAGTCAGCTTTCACCAGTGATTTGCAACAATTCCATCAGAAAGCCCGGCACCCTCTATAGCAACAAGCCCGTGTCACAGCCCTCCTGCTGACACTGGGTTAGTAAAGCCATTGCCATGTCACAAACCAGAAGTGCCCATGGACAAGGAGGCCTGACATCAGCAGCGTTATCGCAGAAGATTAGTGGTTTGTAACAGTTTTGGAGAAATCAGCAATGCGCCAGAATGAGAGACACAACTGTGAGATTACTGTAAAGGAATGAAGTGAAACTTTGGAAGTGGTATTCTGCTCTGGCAGGGTCGTGATTATTACAGGAATTATGCTGTTATCATCAACACTACACTAACACGTCTGTGTGTAAGTAAATTAGATTTTTTTCTAATCCCCACTAGTTGCTGAAAATCAGTTTACACTGACAAGTTAATAATTTCATCACAGAACGGAGCTGGGCATATTTTGATGCTGCAATTAATTTTAAATTCAGGAATATCAAATGTAAAATATATTAAGTAGTGCAACTGATTTCCTCCCCTCCTGCAATGGCTTAGCAGGAGGAAAACAAACAGGAGCGATGAAGAGGTTTTGACAGCAACACAGCACCGTTGTTACGAGAGTGAACTAGAGCTGTAGATTAGCAGGCTGCTCCTGATGATATCACAAATGTAGTTATGCAGTTCTTACAAGTACTAATTAATTTCTTCATCTTTGGAAAAAAACCAAACAGTAGTCAATCCTCCTTTTCTATTACTACATCCCTATTCCCAACAAACACCCGCAATGTCTTTTGTTACACTGATTTTTGCCAGCCAAGCACAACAAGGCCAGGACAGCCAATTTACACGCTCAGTCGGAAGCGCTGGTTGTCAGGACGTGTTTTTAAGCATCTCTGTGTGGTCCAACACACCTGTTTCAGACTAGCAATGTAACGCGTGATGTACTCCACGGTGACGGGATCCTCCACGGTAAGTCTGTGGCTCTGACACTCCACACGAGCTCTGTTTATAACTATTCTGGCATCAGCCGTCAGTCCTGAAACAACAGAGCGTTCCCAGATTCATCCGTCATACTGTATGTGCAAATAAAACAACTACTCTTGCCCCAAAAGGTGCACAAGGTCAGTGTCAACAGCAATGAAAAAAGCAAATGAGAGATCACGCTTTGTCAGGCTCACTGAGCAAGAATAGAACTTTTAAGGCAACAGAAGAAGCTAACGTACCAAAATAAGCAGAGGATTTAGTTTACAGATTTTGATGTTTGAGAGTTAGGTAACGTGCAATTCTGAACCAGGTAATCGGAATATAACTGACAGACGGAAAGCATTCCATCTAACAGCAGATCAGCAAAGCAATCTTAGTTCTCACACGTTTGTTTTACTTCTTAGGCAGTCCCCCTAACTATGAGCCAGGTTTATCTGCACAGCAAATCTCTTCTAGTTGATAAAGCTACAGCAGCATAATGTTACTTGACAACGAGTATGACCCTTGAAAAACAAAACAAAAAAAAAAACAACTTAAGAAACTTATTTCTTATTTTACTTTTTCGCTTATGATGTCATTTTCAACTTACAGCCTTGTTTCTATCAGAGAACTTTTCTTCAAACCTGTGAGCCCACCTGCATGTACGACAACCCTTAGCTAAGGAAGCAAAGCAGCACACTACATCTAAAATCCATTGGTTTTGCCTGTTAAATCAGATCTCCCCTTAAAACATTACCAAAATTGACACAAAAATTCTAAACGACTTGGAGAGGACAAACCTTCTGAAATATATTTTTCTCTCCATTCACATAATTTTTTTTTTTAACTCTCATGCCTCCTGTTCAAGCTTTGAACAATGGAAATGAAGGCACTTGGAACAGGAAGAACACGAACTAGAATATTGATGCTTCAAATCCAGAGCTGTGCATTCAGAAGGAGTCTTCTGAACTAGAACAGAGGAGATTTTTCTTTGTTTTACACAAGACTACAAAATTCAGCTTTTTGGCTTGATGCATGTGGGAAAAGGTCCCTGTAACTGACAAATGTCTCTTATAGCTCCTGTAATACGTATTAATAATAAATATTTTATATGTAATATATTAAAAAGTACATAAAACATATTAACTATATATAAAAATTTAAATACATATATTTAAACAGTATATATCTGTATCTGTGCCAATGACACATCAGTTCTCACATTTTCATCCTCACATTAAACATAGAGAACCTCAATAACTTTAATGTGTATTTCCTCTCATTGGATCATTGCTTAGGGTCATGGTTTAGTGAGTTAGGTGGTGTTGGGTTGGACTTGACGATCCTTGAGGTCTTTTCCAACCTTAATGATTCTATGATTGTCTCTCTATATATTTATCCCTACAATAGTCTACTTTTAATTTAAAAAGAATAAGCAACCACAGAAATACCCTCCTTCCCCATAGTCCTCTGCCAGTTATGTGAAGTATTTTATGTTCTCAGAATCCATAAACATGCCCCCCAGGGTGCTCCAATAACTGCCAAAAGCCCCAAAGGGATCATATACCTGCAAAAGCCATGCAGACATTGTCATCAAGAGCACAGATCTTCCGTACAGTTCTTTCATCCTGAAGTTTTGCCACAGACTTCTTCTCCACACCAAGAACAACAATATCCTTCCCTCTTACTCCAACCTTCAATGCATTAAAAGAAGGAAAAGAAAAAAAAGTTAAGGTAGGCCCCAAAAACCTAGTAGTTACAGACTTTACTGAAACACATAGGAAAAAACCAAACAAATGCAAAAAGCTCACATTGTAAACATTATTTCAACTTGAAATCAATATTTTATTTCCTAATGCCGCAACCTGGAGAAAGGACTGATGTAAAAAAAAATTGCATTAGATTCCAGGGTGCAGTTTCACAATCAGCTTCTACCAATTCAAATCCATGTGGCTCCCAAGGAACAGATTCCCACTCCTCTTTATCAACTGTGTTTTCCCCAGCTCTCCCCAACACCAGCGTTAGCGTTTCTGCAGCCACAGAAGGATCAACAAGCCTACCACTACAACTGGTCCACTGGTATTGCTCAAGTCAGAACCCAAAACACTGAAGAGTAGACCAAGTCAAGGCTACAAGCAGCCTGTCAGAAGCTTGCTCCCTTAATGTCCTAATTCATACTTTGAATATACCTCTGCCAACATCAGGGAGGGAAAAAAAAATTGACTTTTCACACTCACTCCCACTGCTTCTCATAGGGCAATGGGAATAACTTTTTCTTATAGGGTGGCCCTGCTGTTACTGTTGGTAACTGTTCCCAAGTACATTAAACTCAACTAACTGCTCAACAAGAGACAAGACAGAGGTGGATTATATTGCATGTTAGCTCCGCTTTTACATTGTTTTTAATTTCTGGGAAAATAAAAAAAAAAAAAGCTGAGTCTATCCAGCACTAACTCTTGCTGCATTTATTCCTATTCTAAAGGCTGTACATTTGCTCACAATATTTTGTTATTTGTGAATTAAGACTTTTTTTTTCCTCCCCTCAAATTAAAAAAAAAAAAAAACAACTTCATTGATCAAAACACTGGGACAACTGGAAGCTAGGAGCCAGCAAGTTGCTTCTCCATGCCTCCACTGACACGTTTCCCAGTCCCCTGGGAATCTGCCTCTTGGACAAGCACACAATACCAACACTTCCCCACACGCAGAATTCCACAGCACCGGA